CTCTTGCTTTCTGTTTATCAGGGCTTTGTTCTATCATTCAAGAGAAAAGTCCCTAGCTACAGATCTACTGAAAGCTATTTCCATCTAGCTTTTCTTCTCTTCCATTTTTTCGAGGTTCTCTCAGAACTTCTTTAAGTATTATTTATTACCACAAACCAGTACACAAGGATGGGACAGAAGAATTATATTTCTACATTGAGACAACTAAAATCTTAGGATAGAGTAGGTATTTAAATTTCTATATGTTCCTTTTTTCATAAAATATGGAGAAAATAACAGGAATACAGTGATATTAAATAAGAAAATATATTCATAATCTGTTATACTAAGTGATAAATCTTTCCATGAGTCCTAGCTATGTTCAATCATATTCAGTATTATGTAATGTTTCAACATTTCTTCTACTTCACATTGACTCTAAATAAAATTCTTACTAGACTTTCAGCAATAGGAAGGTGAAGGATGAGTAGGAAGAGGGGCTAAGCATTTGCAATTAATTATTTTAGTCCTCATTTTAAGCAAAGTCCTCTTATCTATTGCAAATAAGACTCACAGAGACAAGAAAGGCATATCAGGTATATTTAGATTTCCAGCAGAAACTGGTCTATTTTTTTCTGTAAAATTTGCCAGGACTACTTAAAATGTATTTTAAAATTCCTATGAAATTCTTATGCTGATCAACAATGCAACTGAGAGAACAAACAGAATTAATGAGCTGGCTTTGAGCTGAAGTGCTAGTCTTATGAATGTCACAGGTGCTCAAGAAATTGTTTATTGTGTCAAGAGCCTTTGTTAAAAGTGGAAAGAGAAAAACAATGATATTCTACTTTTAGGAGTACAGGATGCCCTGCTAGCATTCAGGTCAGAGATATAAGAGATCCCCAAACCATTTGCTTCCAGGTGCACACTTCTGCCAATCCATGGTCAACCAGCACAGACACATAACATGTTCCAGGAACCGCTGTCTCTGGCATGTGTATCTGCCTCCTTGATAGCACTGGTCACAGATATATAAAGAAAGGGTTTTCCACACAATCTGCCTCTGAAGTACACATCATAACACTGCCTGTTCATGGTCCTTATAGGTAAACACTTCCTCAGCACCTTGCCTCTCATTCATTCTTCCATTACGATTGTCCCATAGTACCAGGCCTAATCAGGTAAGAAAGCTATAGTCTCCTGCCTCTGGGGAATACTTTACCTACTCAGCAAGCTCACTGAAGCCAGGGAATGGAGAGACTAATAAAAACATAGAAGTGGGAGTCACTTCCCTAACCTGAGTGTGTTCTGCTGCCCTGAGCACCACAGAAGCAAGAGGACATGATCCATCTATGTCTGTCACACAGGCACAACACTCTTCAAACACTCTGGCTTGTGAATTTAGAGGTTACAGGATTCCTGGCATTGATTCACTCTTCCATAGTACCATTTGATAACAGATTCTTAAGATTAGTGGACACATGAAACTGCTACCCCTGGCACAAACAAATGATAATCTGTGATGATTCTGGTGTATAAAGTCAGAGCCTGTGACCCTATTCTCAACAAAGTCAACATTACCTTCATCTACCCCACCCATGGTCAATGCCAAGTGTCTCCACAACTGAACTGTAAGCAACTCTAAGCCAAGTCAATACTCATGAAGCAAAGGCAATGTTAACACCACGCATTCACTCAACTCAGCTCACTCCAGATTGGCAAATAGCAACATACAAACACCGGGGACTAAGAAAAGTCAAGACAAAATGTCTCCTCCAAAAATCACCAATCACATAGTGTTGGCTGCCAATGATGGTGACTTAGACGAAATTCTTGACAAAAATGTAAAAGAACAATTATAATAAATATGTTCCAAAATTTCAAAGTGGATACAAATAAACTCATGAATGAATTGAAAGAGGATACAAATAATCTGTGGAGTCGATTCCAAGAAAACACAATCAGTTGAATGAATTGAGAAAATCAGTTCAGTATTGAAAATAGAAATTCATCAAATACCTAGAAATACCAAGTAAAACTCAAACTGAAATGTTATCAGAAATGAAATATTCAGTAAGTCATAAAAACCTCAGTGGATAGCTTCAACAGTGAATGGATCTTATAGAGGGCAAAACCTCAGAGCTAGAAGATAATAGAGAGGAATTAGATCATTCAGTTGAAGACAATGACTTTTTAAAGAAAATGTATGAATAGAATACAAAATAAGTAGGACACTATGAAAAGACAAAATGAAAGAAGAAAAAGTGTTCTACATCAAAAGCATAGATAGTGCTTTCAATAAAATCATAGAAGAAAATTTCCTGATCTCTGGAAAGATATCCCCATTTGGGTACAAGTTACATAGAGAACATGAGATGGACAGGACTAGAAGAGAAACATCCCAAGTCATATTATTGTCAGAACACTATACAGAACAAATAAAAGATACAGGAAACTTCAGGAGAGAAGACTTAAGTCATTTGTAAAAACTTTCTACCAAGTACATTATAAAATCCATTTTACTAGCATGCAGTGATCCATGAATGTTTATCCTAATTTTTTCTCAAACTATTTTCAGCTTTCAGAAATTCATTAACTGTAGCTTCAGTAAGTTTCATTTCATACGTCAAAAGTAGTGATGTATTTCCATGACTGGACAGTGTCCAGATTAATTCAATCAACTACCATGCAAATGTGTATTTCTTCCCCAGTTTACCCATGCTCTAAGTATTTGAAATGTAGAAGTGTGTTAGAGGTAAAAAGAGAACTTGAACATAATCATTTATATAGCAAACATGCTGAAAAGCCAGATGCATTGCATATTATTAATAGGACTTTAACTTTTCTTCTTCCAGATAAGTTTTCCTTTTGGATATAAAGCAATATAAAGCAACAGTGAAAACACTTTGCAGAAAAAAATCGCTGCTTCCCCAACTTTTTGATTATATTTCCAGGACATGGCATATGGTCTCTCTTTCTCTGCCTTTCAAAGACATAGATTATTTACTCCATGCATGTCGTCTGATATGAAATTCACCTCATGCTATATGGAGCCAGAGTTGATCATTCCTTCATATGTCCTGAAAAATACACCCTTTATACTTTTATGAATTTGGGTTTTCCTGGGTGCTTTCCTGCCAAATAACTAGATTTCACTGCAACAGAACACTGGTTTTTTAAATACATTTATTCTCTTTAGTCAATATTTTCAAGTTTTCTAGAAACAGAGCAGCATTCTTGTAACATACAGGTGTATCCTCTGCAGCAACTTCCTGAGTGTCTCAATCATACCCCTAAAACTTTGTAAATCCCTATTACTTGCAGTGCATTCACCCTTTGATGAAGTGATCATACAGGGTGACTATGTCTCACAAAGCACATTCCTGTAAGATGGGATGTATTTTATGTTCATGTCTTCCATCCATAACTGGGATGCCTTTCTTATTTTAACTAATACTTATCACTTATTATGGCTACCACTTTTCCAGTCTTAGGTGTGACAACAAAACTAATAAGATTTATTTTTCCTACTTTGTAATTTTTTTAAAAAGATGTATTCTACTTTTAGATGTTAGCAACCTCAGCATATTGCTGTTTTTCTTTTCTTATAAATTGAATAAAATTTATATGTTTGCTAAATATGGTATCTCCACATCTTCTTTCTGGTATATCTAAATTGTCAGTCCCCTACTCCTTTGCTTCAGGGATGTTATTAAGAAAAATAAAGGGTTACTTCAACACAGATACTGCAATTATATGACAGCTGACTTGACAGTCAAGATGGCTACAAAGGCACTAGTGGTTAGCTATAGCATGAATTTGTGGGGAACACAGTGATTTGTTTCTAAGGTAGGACTGGATTGCTTGGTGAGAAAGATTTCACCAAGTTTGCCCTAGTGATACATAATGAGAACCCTACATTTCATTTTAGATCATTTCCACTCAGTGTGTTCAGATCACAACTGTTGTTGGATAATGAAAACCAAGTAAAGTGAGATGCAGGTAGGGTGTTGGTGGTGACTGTATGGTGTGTGGAAATAATTCAGCTCAGTGTGGGACCCATAAGAAGGGTTAAATTGATGGATATTACTGTTGCCACTATCATCACTATTATCATAGGACAGCCACATGTTTTTGCAAAATAACAGATCCGAGGCAATTGAAAAGGCTAGCATTTAGAAACATTTTCCCCTCTCATGCACAAGTGTTTACATTGTAATATTTTCAGAATAAAAATATTTTATGCAAAATAATAGATCAGAGGCAATTAAAATGCTGACATTTAGAGTGCTTTCCTTCTACCACGAAAATAAAATGTTTACCTGGAAATCATTTTATAATAGAACACCATCTATTGGCTTTAATTGAAGTTAAAATAGCTTTCTTTACAAATTATTCCCATCCAAATAGCCTGGTGCTGAAATGCTTTCCTGGAGGTACATTTAAGAACATGAATTAAGCATTAATAAACATGAGATGGTATTTATTTTAAGTCAGTTTTTCCTCAGAGGATGAGAGGGCATAGTACTCCTGTCTGTCACACAAGGACCATGACCCAGTTCAGTAGTTCAGGAACATATGCCATGTCCAAACCATCATTTAACACGCAGAAGTTTTCTAGTTTTCAAGAAAGCCGGTGCTTCAGCTGTTTTGGCATTGTTTATCCCTATTCCTTAAAGAAAGCGGCTTTAGCATTAGCATCTGATACTCAGAGATAATTCAGAAGAAGCAGAAATAAGTAACAACTTAGTCTTAGCTGGAGCTAAGTCCTTTGTACACACACTTTCCTAAGCTCTCAGATATATCCCTGAGAGAAGGTTTGACTCTTTTTCAGCAGGACTGCAGAAGGAAGAAAGAAAACAGTACAATGTTTCCTCTGACAACAGGAAATTAGGCTTTCTCTTTTTCAGGAAAAGTTAAATTTAAGATCCACATTACAGACCTGAGGCCATACAGGACTGTACCATCTGGATGCAGGCGGATCATACGGTTTTTGACAGTCACTCCATGGACAAAAGACTTCTTATCATTCAGGAAGTAGGTATCAGGCACCCAGAGCTGGTCTGCCACTCGATTGTCCAATGTCAAGTTCAAAGGTATTACATTGTAGGACAGCCTCTTATCTCTCCAGGCTTGCTGAAAATACATTGTCAATGTATAGTCCTGTGGATGTGAGAAGAAATAAAGTTACTTTGTATCAGAACAGACTAGGGTAATGTATTAGTTGATTTAACTCATTCTTTGAAAGCACCTACTATGTGACATGCATCTAACATTGCTGTAGGCACTATGAATATAGGGTGAAGAAAGTTATGTCTACACAAAATTTGTTGTATGTTACAGGAATATAGATATCAACAAGCAATCATGTAACTGTTATTTTTTTCTTTTATGAAGTAGAGTGCATAAGGTTGTTTTAGGTAAGATATAAATACAAACTTGACTACTCCAGTGGTGCAATCAATTAGCACACAGTACTTATAAATACAAATTTAAAAGAATACATAGGTACCTGTTTTCCTGTGTTCTGAAACAATTAACTTGCATATCAAATCTAAGATTTCATGCATTGACTCATTCAACAAATGTTTAATTTAGTGCCGGGAGTTGGTGGCGCATGCCTTTAATCCCAGCATCAGGAGGCAGAGGCAGGTGGATCTCTGTGAGTTCGAGACCAGCCTGGTCTACAAGAGCTAGTTCCAGGACAGCCTCCAAAGCCACAGAGAAACCCTGTCTCAAAAAACCAAAAAAAAAAAAGTTTAATTTATGCCTGGTATGTGACTGGCAGTGCTGAGGGGTAGAACAAAGGCTGATCTCAGGGGATTTATGAACAAAGCCTAGATAAATGAACAGACTATCACATAATGCTGTAAGTCCGCCAAGCTAATAAAGAAAATTTAAAAACATTGGTCTGGGATGGTGTGGAGAAAAGCCTCTCAAAGGAACTGAAATGGTGCAGAGACCAGAAAAACCCAAAGCACTGGCTCTTAAAAAACATTCTAAACACAGGAGAGTGTAAAAAGGTCCTGAGGGTGGAGAGGAATCATCACGTTTAGTGATCAGAGTCAAGACAGTCACATAACAGAGCAGCAGCGACACATAGGAAGAGTTGGACTAGAACAACGTCATAAGATTTACCATTCAGGAGAAGATGTACACTTATAACACCCAGCTATAAAATGACAACTAATGTTGGTGAGGATGCGGGGAAAGAGGAACCCTATTACTTTTGCAAGAAATGTGAACTAGTATGGACACTGTCACAATCGGTATAGTCATTGTTCAAAAATCTAAAAATATAATTACCATATGATTCATTACAATGTGTAATCATCCCAGAAAGATTCCCAGTCCCACTGCAGAGACATCTGCACATTGGTATTTACTTGGCATTATTGGCTGTAGCGAAGAAATCGAACTAGCATGGTTGACCATAAATGAATGAATGAAAAAAGGGAAATACATATAAACAACAAGATTTTATAGCCATGAAGGAGTAAAAGTCACATGAGCAGGAAAAATGATAGAACTGTAAACTGTTAACAGAAAGAAGCCAGACTTTGAGAGACAATTTCTTCATGTTTTCTCCCACACATGAAGGTTAGCTGCACACACACACACACACACACACACACACACACACACATACATGTTTGCTTCAGGGTCATGAAACTGGAAATGAGACCACAGGGAAGAAGGATACCAGTCAAAGGGTATAAGAGGATGGGTGATGCAAGTGGAGGAAGAGCAACTAGCTGTTTATCAGGTACCCATTTACTTCCTTTTGCCTGAGTTGATTAAATATAAATGGAGCTTTTAATATATGCTCAATCTAGACTGAACTATTATGGAAATTAAATAATGCAAATCCAATTTGTAAATCACAAATCCCAATATATTATGAATAAAACATTTACACATATATTGTGACATGCTTGATCCATTAGAAGCCTATGGGCGCAAAGGAATTGCTCTCTTTCCTTCATTTGAATGACTAACGGGAGGAACAAATGCTCATTTCAAAAAAGATAATTATAAATCTATTTTAAAATTAATTCACAATGACCTACTTGAGGGCTTTAAAAAATGAGAATCATGTCTTAATCATTCCAGCAGCCTGAGAGGCGAGATCAGTACCAGGGCACAAATCGTGAATGAGTGAATGTGCTGTAAATTGTGCCTCTGGGATTTCTGCCCAGAGCTGGATAATTCTGTATATAAGGAATGCCATTCAATCTTCACAATGTCCCGAGTTTTTCTCAACTTGGTTGGGATTTATGTATCCCAATTCAATGCCTCACATGATATTAGGAGAAAAGTATAAGCATATATAAAAAAAGTTGGAATATGTCTCTGGATTTGCACATCTGCTCACTTTGTCCTCATAGAGAAGTCACTTTATCAATTGGCATCTAAATTTAGCATCAGACTTCTATTTTAATAATACATATATACTAATGTTCTAAGGGCATTTCAGACACTTTTAGTTGAAATTCACTTCAACAGATCACTCTGAGCATTACTCTGGACTTCTCTGCAAATTTCTAGTTCAGGAAAAAGTTAGTATGAAGGTTCTTAGGAGAATTCACCAGCTTAATAGAAACAGCATTAGAGACCCAAGAAGTACAGGGCTGCAAAGCAAAGCAGAACCATGAAGTTTTCATAAGTCTGTGTTACAAATAACTGAAAACCAGGACATAAAATAATTAAATAGGTAATTAATATTGAGAATGAGGAAATATACTTAGTGATTTACAATTCTTGAGATGAAATGAAAATGTTGATTACTAGAAGTCAAAGCTACTTAAATTGCCTTCAATAATAAGCTTTCTTTATATGAAACACAATTTGAAAGAGCTGTATTTTATCAGTCAACAGATATATATTTGGATACATGAAATTACATTCTCTTTTGGTCCAAATAAATTGCAATATTGTGGTGCTACCTTACATGCTAACTCCTATTATTTGTCAGCAAGGTATTTCGTGCTAAGAAATACTCCCATACAGAACCTGGACATTGTATAAACTTGAGTATTACCTTCCATTTCATTTATCTCAAAACTATACACCATGGCACTGTCAAGAAAGGAATAATTTGTATGCATGTGGAAAGAATGCTCAGATGGTCTGCATTCCCCTTATCTACTTGTTTACCTCAGATAAATCCATTCAACTTTTGTACTGATCTTGTATCCTTTAGAATTTAAACAAGAGGAGTTGTCTCAAAGTTGGTGTTTTCAAACTGGAAATTCTCAATGTGATCATAATCCAGACCATCTCCATGAAAGATAGTTTAGAATATCAAAAATAAAACCAATTTTTTCAATATTGTGAAAACGGAACTAAGCCCACTGTAGCTTGTTTGTCCCACTAACTGCAAGCAAAAAAATTAAATAAATCTAGAAAGAATATGAAAGCAGTTATCTGATGATCATGTGAAGTCAAACATAGTAGATGAACAAGAAAAGGGATCAAAAGTGAAGTAAGACCATTACAAGGGTGATACTATTAATTTAATTTTGTGTCTTCCTTTTTTATTTTATTGAGTTAACACACATGCATGTACACACATTTCCACACACAAAGCTGGAAGCACATACCCCTAAGTAACTGGAGATACATACTATATTCATGAGTTCAAGGGTAAATGTTACTCAGCTGTCATTTCCCCTGAAATTAATCTATAGATATGACTCAATGCCAACATTAATCATGTCTTTCCCATATGGGGACCTTTTTTGTTAATATTAACAAGATTCCAAAATTCATATGCAAAAAAGGAATGAGAAGAGTCAAAATATCTGGGTGTGGCAGTGTGAGCCTTTAACCCCAGAAATCTGGAGGCAGTGGTAGCAGATATCTGTGAATTTGAAGCCAGCTTGGGACAGAGTGCGTTCTTTGTCTCAAAACAAGGAAAAGCAAAACAAAACAAACAACAAACAGAAAGAATAGCCAACATGATTTGAAAAGGAAAGAACAATGTTGGACACAGAATGAGTTTTAAGGCTTAGAGTGAAAGTAGACTCAAATATGTGGTGATAGTTACAGAAACATTGATCAGTAAAACTTACGAAGCTAAAAATAACTACACACACACCTGTATGTTTGCTTGATTTTCAACAAAAGAACTGAGGCAATCAGTGGAGAATACATAATCTTTTCAGCAATTATCCAATTCTACTGGAATATCTATATAAATGCCAATGAACTCATCCTTTCAGAACCATAAGCCCAAATAAACAGTTTCATGAGTTACCTTGGTCATGATATTTTACCATGACAATGAAAACTAATAAGGATGTATGATATATGTATGTGTTTATATACACATGTACATATGAAAGTGTCAAAATAAAATGCAGTCTTTAGGATGCCATTCTAATAGAATAATTTTAAAAATTAAAAGAAGAAAAGCTGAGTGGCAGTCATGAAATAGAATATAGCTAAGTAATAAAAATATCAAACTTAATATATAATCTTAACACTGGTTAATGAATGCAAAAAAATGAAGTCAGAGAAATCAGACTAAAAAGGATGCATATTATGTAGCTACATTCATATGACAAACTGGGAAAGGTAGATCATTGGCAGGAATTGGTTTGACTCCAAAGCAGCATTAGTGATTTTCAAATAACAGCAAATCTCTTCATTTGTTTAGCTCGGCAAGTTACAGGATTTTAGGAATTTCTGAAAACTGAGAACTCTATCCTTGCATGAGTGCCTAACTTTGTATGCAAATAAAAATACATTTCAACACTTCTTTTAAAAATAATGTGACTGCTGGAAATAGGAAAAATAGCTTCTTTTTTTTTTTCCACTAATGAGCCCCTTTGTAGGTTGTCTGATGCAGCCTGAAGACATATATGCATATACATCATACACATGTGCACACACATACATAAAAATAATAAAGAAAAAGAGGCTATGAACTTCAGAGTGTGGGCATTGAAAGGGCTAGAGGTAGAAAAAGGGAGGGAAAATTATGTAGTTTAATTTAATTAAAATAAATATTTTAAAAAAATATTGTCCCTGTTATTTCTGTAGCCATTCACACCAAGGTTTTATTTTTGGTTATGAACCTAGCCTTTAAAACAGCTGAGCCATCTCTCCAGCCCCACACCAAGTACTATCCTAGTACTATCATCTTTTTAAGTCACTAG